ATGGGGGCCACTCAGACACTGAGCCACACCAGCTGGATACAACATGGCTGTTTTTCAACAGAAAGCCAGAGGTCCAAATGGCATCACTTATGCTGAAAGCCCATGATCCCACCTAGTTTGACACCTGGTAGAATGCAGTTTCCCCCTCTCCCAGAAACAATCTTAATCATCCAGTGTTAAATGGTCTGTTAAAGTACCGGGAATGTGATGTGTCTCATAATCCCTTTCCATCCCCCATAGAAAAAAGAGGCAACCTTATGATAAAAATTCTTCCAGGTGTGCCCTACCTGGCTGGGCTCAATGGGTAGAGCATCGGCCTGCGGACTGAAGGGTCCCAGGTTTGATTCCGGCCAAGGGCACATGCCTGGGTTGTGGGCTTGATCCCCAGTAAGGGGTGTGCAGAAGGCAGCCAATTAATGATTCTCTCTCATCATTGATGTTTCTATTTCTCTCTCCCTCTCCCTTCTTCTCTAAAATCAATAAAATATATTTTAAAAAAATTCTTCCAGGTCTTTTTTCCCCGAAAGAAAAGGTGTCCCTTCTCAAAAATACTCTGATTTTTAGTTTCGCTAATTGCTTCACTCCTGGAAAACCTTTTAAATAAGACCCCTGTCTTGCCCTACGTGAAGGTGATGGCCTGAAATAAAGCACTCTCTTAACTTCTTAGTCCCCACCTTTCCCGTTTCTACCAATAAAAATGTTCCATTTTTACAACTCTGAGTATACCCTTCAATTTGGTAGTGGGGTGCTGCCCATTTATCAATCACTTGAAGCCAATTAGATCTTTAAATTTACTCCGCTGAATTTTATTTTTTAACACCATAAATCAATCATGGCCGGGTAAACTCATTGTTTGAGTGTCATCGTGATATGCCAGAGTTGTGGATCATACAAACACCGACCAACGAATGCATAAATAAATTGGACAAATTGATGTTCCTCTCTTTCTCTCACTGACACTCTATCTAAAGTCAATAAGTAACAATTTTACTTTAGCTGGGTCCCTCAGTGGGTTAGAGTGTCATCTCAATATGCCAAGGTTGTGCGTTGGGTCTCTGGTCAGGGCACATAAAAGAATCTACTAATGAATGCATCAGTGAGTGGGCCAAGCCCTGGCTGAGTGCTCACTTGGTTGGAGCACCTCCTGTACACCAAATGTTTGCGGGTTCGATTCCCAGTCAGGGCGCATACCTGGGTTGCAGGTTTGATCCCCAGTTGGGGCACGTAGGGGAGTCAATGGATCAATGTTTCTTCCTTCCTCTCTCTAAAAACCAATAAACATATCCTTGGGTAAAGATTTAAAAAAATGAAACAGCAACAACTAAAAATGAATGTTTCTTTCTCTCCTTCCCTCTCTCTCTCAAGTCAATCAATTAAAATTTAGAAATAATAAATAAGAATTTAAAAGACAAAATAAAAATAGAGATTCCTATGACGCCTTCTTCAGGTTAAATTAAGTTGCTAGAGCTGTTGGTGGCAAACCCACACCAGTTGTTCCTAGTGATTTGACCTCGGTTCAGCAAAGTGTTTTGTTTTTTTTAATTGATTTCAGAGAGGAAGGGAGAGGGAAAGATGGAAACATAAGAGAATCATTGATTGGCTGCCACTGCACACCCCCTACTGGGGATCCAGCAGCCAGACATGTGTCCTTGACTGAAATCCAACCCTGTACCCTTCAGTCTGCAGGCCAATGCTCTATCCACTGAGCCAAACTAACCAGGGTTTACTGTTCTTTTAAAAAAAAGATATAACAAATAAATACATGAAAATAGCCAAAATTGATAGCCAATTAGGCTGAACATATGATCACACATTTTACCCAATATACAGATATCTAGCAAATACACATCTGAAAAAAAGGCTCCCCATAAATCTGTTGGGAA